TAATGATAAAAATGTTTTTATTTCCTTTATTCCATCACGCAATACTTCTACTTGTTGCTGCCTGCCATAAATAACTTTTGGAATCTCATACAAATATAATTTTGTTGCATGTTCCATAATGAACTTGAATTGCTTATTTTTTGGAGAGGTCAATTCATTTAGATCATTGGTTTCTAAACAATGAAAAAAAATAAAGACATGTATTGATAATTAAAATGCTAAGAAAAAAAAATCAATCCTTGATTTTTGAAATTTTGCCTTTAAAATCAGAAAGTCTAGATATACAATCTAAATTGATAAATAAATGTATATTAATAATTAATTTTACTATTCTTGAATTAATAATCTAGATACCTTCTAGAATTTTATTGAGACTAGCGCTAGTTTTCTCTTCAATTGAAGTCTCATTAAATAAAAATTCCTCTCCTAAAATAATAATTCGAGTGGAGATATTAACTAAAGATTATAACTTGATATCAAATTATTGACGTTGATTACCAAAATAATTCTTTTCTTCTAGAAGATCTTTATTTTTATATTTATACTCATTTTTATCACATTTGTTGGCAATAATCATAATAGGAATTTTATTACTGAAATAACTACTACATTCATCTAATAGTAATTCCTTTATTTTCGTTTTGCTGTCAGGTTGAGAAATATCGTAAACGAGGACAGCACCGTCAATGTAGCTATAATAACTATAATATTTACATGATAAATAAAAATTCCATCACATAAAAAGCATAATACATTAGAATTACAGTTAAAGTTATAAGAACTCACATTTTATTTGGTCTGAGATCCCCTACGAAGCGATAAATATATATATATATTAACAAATTATAGTTATTAGCGTTGCAAATGCCATTAAGGCATGAAAGTGATTATAATGTCTAAGACATAAACCAAACTAATAGTAGCAAAATACTAATATAAGAATAACTTTGTTAATACCGATTTCCAAAAATTCTACTTTAATAGTGTAATTATCTAACTGAATGTGCGTGGTTGTGATATACGCACGCAGAGTTTCTTTATATATTCCATTTTCAAAATCATCATTTGCAAATTTGTTGATAAGGCAAGATTTGCCAACACCTTTTTCACCATCCACACCAACTAAGAATTAAAAATATGTTAATATAGTCCACCTAAGTTACAAGAGGTAAAAATGTATCATACTTCTTAAAAAAAAATCGTAATTTCTACTCATTTTGAGAAAAAGTTTGCTGTAATTTGATCATAAAACGCATTATATTTATACGTATGCGTATGTACGTACGTACTGTACGTAAAGAATAACATCGATCATCAATACGTTATCTAACGTCGTTCAAGTAGTACATAATATTTATTATATGTTCATTTATAAATTTAGTATGTACTGTACATACTTACGTAATTGCATTTGGCGAAATCTGCACAAGATTCTACTCTTAGTTTGCGGAAAATGAATCTAGTCTATCGTGATAAAATTGGAATTTTATTTATAATTCATTGCAGGATCTCGAACACTTACGTCGTAAAAAAATAAATGGCAACGCCTAATAATAATAATATAATAATAATAATAACGATAATAATAGTTTTTTTTTTTTTGAGATTTGCTAAGGTTTGGGATTTAGGTGTAGACAAACTCAAGCAAGTACGGTGCAAGAATCTAAAAACAGCAATTACACTTTAAAAAGACAAATATAAACAGTGAAATTAAATACTTAATCTTCATGCGTAACTTGATTAAAATTACAGATTACGCCAAGCGGATAATCAAAGTAGCCATATTTCTTAAATTATCGACTTCAATAAAAATACTGTATTTATTTTGTGCATCGTACGTATATAAATATTGGTGTAACGTTAATTATGGGTCATATTAAAAATTGTATAACAGTAAACCAGTTTATCTGGACGTATGTACGTGCATACATATAAAAAATCACAAAGAAACAATTCATAAACATTTTCATAAACAATCATGACTGAATCTAATACCACTTCACAATGGAACAATTTAAAAAAAATATATGATTATTTGTTAGAAATTTTTAAAGTGCCATCATTGAAACCAGAATTACAGTTGACAAATGTTGAGGTATTCATTGTGAAATGCTTGTATTAATATTAAGTGTTTATTTAAAACAGCAATACATAGAGTTTATTTAATTTGAATATTGCTTACGTAATAAATACTTAGAGATGTAATATTTTATATTGAAATTTTTATTCACGTTTTTAGATCTTTAACTGTGATTTTCTCGTCAACCTTAATGAACTTTTTTCAAAGTCCAACATCAAGCCCAATACTCGAATCTTCAGAATCTATGGTAACATAATTCAACTATCGGACGATTTAACAATTCCACCCTTGAATAGCGGTGGTGTTATTTTGATTGCAGCAAGACGAATTGAAATTAAACAAGGATGTAAAATAACTGTTAATTACAAGAAGTCTTTTCGAATAGTTATATACGCTAAAGAAATGACTTCGGAACTTGAAATTATCGCGATAAATCAAATAAAAAAATGAATCAAATTTATTAAAATTAGATGCTAACATTTCAAAAGATAATAAAACCGTTGGCAAATCACTTACTATACGTGATGACAAGAACCCTGATGATAAGGATCTATACATCTTTGATAGTTCTATTCTTGAAAATCATTCATCATTCCGTAAAATGCTACGATACTCTTTACTTATTGCCAGTGTCTTATTTTATGATGAACCTGAAATTACACGATCAATTCTCTCTTGGATATGCAAAATAACCGAATCACAATCTGATGAACTACATCATCAAGCACTTACAATATTTGTTCAATTGGATATCTCTGAAGAAAGAAGGAAAAATAAAATTTCATATATTCCATTATTGAATAAAGATTTCTATAAGAAAGGAATCGAAGAATTTATGAATTCAGTAGAAAATTATGAAAACAAATATATGCAATTTTTAACTAAAAGGGATATTGCCACTCAAGAGAAAATTGAATCTAAAGTATGGTTAGAAAATTATAATGATGAAACCACTTTGAACGTTCACTTAGAAAAAATTGAACATGAACGTTATGTTTCAGCATTTAAATTAATGAAAAAATTAGAAGATGAACTAAAGGTATATTGAACAAACAAATATATTTATGATAACCAATCTATAAATTTTATTTATTTTTCAATTTTAAAAGTGATATAAAATGAACGTTTTACTAATGATAGGACAAAAAAAATGACGTAAGCAACGCAAGTGAATCCTTCGAAGACGGGATTGAAGAATGGAAGCAACAAAAAATCCATGATGCAGAAAAAGAAATGTTAATTGCAGTTTTTAGTTTGGCAGTACGCGTTGGCACAATTGTTATCAGACCTGATGGCATAGTCGACATTATTAAAACTATAGAGAAGACATCTGTTTCGATTCAAGATGCTTTTAATGCTGCAGATAAAGTAAAAGA